GGCAGCAAATTTGGAAAATTGAAAGGAGTTTAGGGAGTACGGTAGGAAGATGTAAGCTACATCAGAAGGAAAGTAAGCTTTATTAGTAGTACTACTAATAGAGCATCCTATTATTCTTTTTTTTAATAATGAAAATATCATCATGCAGATATAAAAGAGAGATAGTAATTACTTATTTAAATAAATTAAGTTTAAATCAAGTGTGGATTTTCATAACCAGGTTAATCTCTTAATTTACTTTGAGATAGCAGTGCTTACTCTGTATCTTTCTGTGTTGTATTCATATGCACAATTATTTCTGTAGCATAAACAGTTAATGGATACTTTGATTTAAAAATTCTCATACTGTCAAAAAGGGAGGAACCCATATTTCAGATCCTGATTTAATTCCTTTAAATAAGACCCTTTCAGAAGTGTTAGGATTAGATGCTCATAGGAGTTTCCATCACTACTCCTAAGTCATTTAGGATTTCACAAAGATTATTTAAACCACTTTTGTTCCCTCCTCAGCATGTGTACAGCATTAGTGCTGTAGTGTACTGTTAGTGTGTACTGAGTTAGAAGAATGAATTCATAGCAGGAAGCCCACTGAAAAAGATCACTAGACTAGTCAGTAGAACAAGGGTGGTAGTGACAGAGCATCCTTGACTGCTATTAAATTCACAGCACAAACCCCCTTCTGCATGTAGTTGCCTGAATTACCCACTTGGACAAAGGTGTCTCACTAACTGTTTTTGGTTTAGAGCCTTGAGGGATTAGGGAAGAAGAGAAGAAGAAAAGGAGCTGGTGGTGGAAGGTGGAAGAGGCAACAGCACCAAACCTTCATAAATTAGTGCAGTGGATAGCGTGTTTGCAAAGCATTTGTCAACTTGGGTCGAGTATCCTTACCAGCCTCAGGGAGATCAAATCCCCGCATCTCAGGCAAATGCTGCAATTCTACTCCATTATAGGCAAGAGGTGCTTCCTATATTTCCAGCTGAGAGGTGGCCACTGTGCAGCTGAGAATGCAGGAGTTCTGGGGCCACCAACAAAACAGTGCACAAAAGGGCTGGTGCCTTGGCTGAGTGATGAGCACATGCCTCTGGGACAGCTGGGGAGACCTGAGCTCTGCATCTACCTGGGCTGAGGGCTGTCTGAACCCAAGCTAAGGTCTAGGAACTGCTCTTAGGAAAATACAGTGTTCATACAACTCTGCACGGTGACGTGGAGGTTTTGTGGCTTGTAGTGCTGGATTTAGATGCCTATATCCAATATCCCACCTAAGGTCTCTGTATTTTTTATGGATTATCTTTTAAATAACAAGTCTTGGTGGGTGAGGGTAACCAGAATGATTCTTTTTTTTTCCCCAGGGTTTTTTGATTTACAATGTCTGAAGTGCAGGTTTGTTCTAAAAATAGCAAGTCTAATACTTGTGTTTAAAATCCTTCCTATGAGAACATTGTGATGAAAGACCGGGCTTCTTTCCAGTACATATTCACATACCAATTCTGAAATGGCTTTGTAGAAAAATAATTTCCATAAATTCTGCATATCCACTAACAACTAGGAAACAAAGTAACAAATAGAAACCATCAATTTCCATCATTTTTAAGACTGGAAAATTAGAAATAAAGATAGGATGCATTTTAAATGGAAATTAAAAGATATTTTAAGATACTTTGTTTAAATTATCTTTGGAATAATATAATTATTACTTACCTTAATACTAGCTGGAAAGAAATACAGAGAAAGGGTTTTTTAAATTTTTTCTCCTCTGTGTTGTATAGTGTCACACACTTGCAGGGAAAGCCTACAACAACCAAATAGAAGCATTAATAAGGAACTAGAAGATCTAACTGATTTTTAGAAATATTTGTTTGCTCTCTGTACTTCGGGAGAACACACAGCATGAGAATCCTGATTTTATATTCAGTGTGGACAGTCCACTTACATCTATGTGGAAATGTATGTTTAGATCACATAGTTACATGTAAAATATATCAAAGATAGGAGTCCATTATATGTCTCAGTTTCTGAGATTTAAATCCCAGAAAATAATTCCTTAAATGAAGTGAAATTATCTTGAAGACTCTCCAGTCCAGTCTGGAAATACATTTATATAGACCTTAAATTTGTGACTGGAAGTTTTTTATTGTAAGAAGTAGAAAGTGTGCATTTTGGTAAGGAAACTTAATTATTGCAAAAGCTGCTATAGTACTGCAGGTACTGAGATCAGTTCTGCTAAGTCTAGTTCAGACAGGTGCTCCTACTCCCAAATAATTTATTATTTCAGAAACATCAAAATCAATAGAAAATTTTTCACTGAAAAAATTGTCACTCACAATTTTGAAAAAAAGAGAAGTAGCGAAAATGGTTGGTTACTATGTAATTTGCTGAAAATCCCCTTCTCTAAAATTCTCTTTACATTCTAAGCCTTCAATTTAAATGTAGTTTCTGCTGTGGTGCAGATAACTTTGAAAACACAGACTGAATCTAACCACATACCTGTTCAGGTCAGTAGACAATTTGAACATTAACTCTTTCTACCCCACTTCAATTGTTTTGTAGAAACAGTAAAATACATCAGATATCCTCCACATACCAAATCCTCCGGTTTCTCCTCTGACATTAGCAATGTATGTCTTCATTGTAAATATTTGACACTTTTAAAGTGGTTTTGAGTTTCAGACTGAAGATATAGGGAGGGTATTATAAGTTGAATTCAGTGTAAAAATGGTACATTTGATGGAACATCTACATGAAACAGCCTGGGATCCTGAGAAAACAAAGGCTTACTTGTTACTATTCTTTGCCTCTTCTGTTTTCAATAGTGCTAAGCATTATTTCAGCCAAATTAATGTCTTTGTCCCTTTTTCTGTGATAAATTTTCTACACGTTTTGTGAAAACAGGTAGTTCACAGAGAGAGAGAGTTTCAAATGCTCTCATTGATGAACAGGTTACGAAAATATCTCAGTCCCTTTATTTGGCACGAGAGTCAGAGATGTAGGAGCAAGCACTGTGGGATACCATGAGAGGACCATAGGAAGCCTTCGTCACAAGTTCTGCTGTTATTTTTAAGTTAAAGACTGTTCTATTCTTTAATTGAAGATTTGCCAGGACAGAACCCCCAGAATCCAACTAGATATTAAAAAAAAGTTGTTCAGCATAAACCTTTGCCTGGGAAGGAAATGTCATTTGTTAATGGCATGAAAGCTTTCAGCAGGTCCAGGTGCTAGTGGGGCTGCAACCCTGACATTGCCAGGGTAGCCTAAAATCTGAGCAGTCAGAAACACTTTTATTCAAGGTCCTCCACTTCCCAGAAAATGGTTCAATATTGTAATGGCCTAGGTATTTCCTAGGGGGGTTCAGAGATACCTGTGAAAGGAGTAAGTATTGTTGTTATCCTGCAGTTAGCAGGAGCTGGGTTGGAAATCCATTTGGTTGGATCGAGGACCTGAAGCCTTTCCTTGGCAGCACAGGAGTTACGGCACGCAGGAGGAGCTGAGGCCAGGGAAGATAGTGCGGGGGACATGAACACCTGCATAAAGACCCTGACCTCTTGACAAATGATGCTGTGTTTCCAGTGCCTTTGGGACTTTGGCGAATTGGGGGTTTCTGTGTGGCCTGGGGGAGATCTCTGCACTGTCCACATGTCCATAATTGAAATAGGCAGAAGAAACTGTAAAATATTTCTCCCTCCAGACCCTTTCTGACAGTTTTTCTCGCCTATGAAATAATGGGGGGTGGGGGGGGGTGTTGGGGTGTTAACTTTTTTTTTTCTTTTTCCACCCCCGAAGCCTGCTACAGATTAATTGTAAAGGTCACAGTTGTTCTTTCGTTGGAGTTTTTCTGTGTGCCATCTGCTGGTGATGCAAAGCAAGTGAACGTTTCAAAATAGACTGTTGTTCCTGTAGTGCTGAACAGATGCATCACCAGTTGAAGCAACAGGTTTCTGAGTGTCTCTGATCATCTTTAACTCAGGGCAAAGGCATTTAGCTTATCTGAAGAGAATCGGCTGTAGTTATAACAATGTCTCTGCATTTTTGAGATGCCCATGCTTACCTCTCTATGATTCTTTCACATCAAAATGAGTTAGAGGTGGTCTTGTAGGTGTTTATCTTGGAGACCTTAGAGGAATGCTTTATATACACTAGTATTTGTAGTAATAGGATATCTCCTGTTAAAATTTGACCTAGAAATGGTGCAGATTCTTAATTAATTAATTCAGATGCAGATTTTTAAATCATAGGTTGCATAACAGACTGGTTGTGAGTCTGACAGTACAGCATTTATTTTCAAGGAGGAGATGTTGAACTTTTAATTCACATTCCTTTTTTTTTGGCATTAATTCACATTTCCTTTTCACATTCCATTTTTCGGAACAACTAGTTGTTTAAGTTTTGTCAGCATCTACACTTGTCTGTAGAGTTCCTAGTCTATCAAACTGCCAGAAGATTGAATGGCAAACCAAATTCCTCTTACATTAACAATAGATTTTTTTGAAATAGTGTGTTCTCATTGATAGGATGATTTTCACACAAGCATAATTCCTTGAAGCTATTAAACTTGTATTTTAGTATAATACTAACCACAATCATTGTCTACGTACAGAATATTTTTCATGTTAGTCATTTGACATAATGATAAAATTTAATCAATAAAACTTTAAAACAAATGGGAGGTTAGCATAGGTGCAAAACTGTGGCCATATGTGTGTGCAGTTTAGTGACCAATGTAAAGTTCAGACTGAAGTCATCTAATGGTTTCTTCCACTGTTTAGCTCCCTGAACCAGTGAAAGTACAATCACCATGTCTTAGTGTTTAGATTAAGTTACTTAACTACACTGTTGTACTTCAGTAATAACATTTAAATACGATTTTTTTCCTCTATGAAAAAGGTCCACTACAGTCATTCATGAGTTCTTTGGGGAAGGATTCTGTTTTATCGTGTCTGTCAAAATACACGTTTTCTTTTTTCTAACATTTATTTTGTTTTGTTTTGTTTGATGCTTTATTAAAGTGAGTGAATACCCAGCTGTTGGCATTCCCAGATGTGGTCCAGCAAGTCCATTTAAAGGACACTTGAGTACTAAGAGTAATGGTAAGTAACACATGTGCTTTCATCAGAAGGTTGACATGGTTCGTTTTATGTGAATTCATTGATTTTATGATTAAAATGTGTTTATAATTAAAACCTTTGCATTGAGCTCAATTGGTGAAGTTTAATAGTACTTACATTTAGTATGCATTACTGAAAATACTTTTGAGGAGTGAGTTTTGCCTTGACTCTACTGCTAGGTAGAAACAGTTAGCAAGATAACCAAATATATATAGATGTCACATCTATATTAGGTGGGATATAGGTATGGTTACTGCTTTAAAGAGCCTTGAGGTGAAACATATTCCTTTACAGTCAGTAGCTTACATGAGCTAGTATATATTTCTGTACCATACTGCCACCTCAGACACTTTTTTCAAAAGAGCATAGAATGGAGGAACAGGAAGTTTCCATGCTGATATTTTCATTGTCCAACTTCAGCCACTTCTGTAGCCATTTATTGAGTTAATGGCTCAGTGGGGAAAAAAAACCAAAGCAGACAGGATGATTTCATGTGATAGTAGCTGCTAAAGAAAAATGACTGCCAATGGGCAAAGAAGTTAAGTGCACAGTAATTTAAAGTTTGTGGCTTCAAATTGCAGTTAATAACTGTTTTAAAATTTGGATATTCTTGTGCCTGCCTTTGTAATGTTTAAATATATTTTAATCTTACAGCTTTCTGCATTGACTCATCCCGAAGTCTAACTAGTCAGTACCTGATCAGGGATCACATGGTGTTTCATTATAACAAAATCCTTTCAGCCAAAGGTAAAAATGTGCATATATGAATGGACTTTCTACCCCCAGATTTAACTCATTCTTTCAGAATAGGCTCATATCAAGAGGGAATGAACTGGATTGTAGGAAGTGTAGTTTTCTTCCTGATACATACTCAGACTGATGTCAGCAAGGAGATATGGCTGCTACTTACTAATACTTTTGTGTTATTAGAATGGAAAGTTTTGTATGAAAACATTTTCCTTAAGTGCTACCAAAGATACTACTTTAATTTTAGGGTACTTTGTGCTGTATTCTCTTCATTCTGCTTTTGATGAAATAATGAATTATGAAATAATATGCTGAACTGAAAATCATGGTGATAGTCACAATAGCAAGCATACAGGATTTATTTTAGGAATGAATGCAAAACTTTCAATTAAACTCAGACCACTGTGTCTTTTTTCTTTTTTTTTTTTTTTTTAAATGTTCATTATCTTTTGTTCATATTTCAGTCAATGGCAGGTAGTTTTAGGATTTTGAAAATTGCCCCATGTGTTTGTAAATGAGAAAATCACATTACTATTCTGTATTATTGAGCACTAAATATCCATATGATTATTTTCACATATTTTAATGTTAGAAGGTGCTTATATTTATCAAAAGACAAATATTATGAAATCTGGAACTTAAAAGCCTATTGAACTTGTATATGTTTGTATGTTTCTTAATTATGGTGAGATCCTGATCAAAAACTTTTGAGATTTAGAAATGTGTGTTTACTCCGCTACGAATTGACAATACCCCATTGTCAGTGCTATAATTGAAAGCAAACTGTATTACAGCCCAAGTTATTTTTTTAAGGTCATATAAGGAGCGTGAAGTACTGTGTTTGAAAAGTTAATAACATGCACAGAGCTAAGAAAAGTCTGTAGATAGTTGTTATTGTTGTTGACAGTTCACAGCCTATTTTCATTCTTCATGGCATAAAGTTGTCTTGGGGATCTCAGTCCTAGAGATATTAATGCTAGGGCTTGGCAGGATTTAAATTTGAGTATTTAAATTAAATGCATAAGTGTTTGCAGGATATGAGTTATGAGAGAAATATTTTTTGAATGCCTCCCAAAACATTGTACACTCTTTTTCTAGGTATTTTTAGAAATAGGGTTTTGGAGGTGGTTCTGCTGATTCTCTTCATCATGCCTCCTTTTCTTAATGTCTGCTTTAAAGAGAAGTACACTGGGGCTTTGGATTCTGCCAGAGTCTATGCTCACAAATATAGTCATCTCTCTACCATGTAACGTACTCAGTATCCTCAGGTGTGCAGATAAATGCCATCAGCACAAACTGTACAGAAACCTTTTGTAAGGAATCTTCATTTAAATGATGATTCTTCCTTCAAATACTTATTTTACTTTAACATCTTTATCTTGAAAATTCTCTTGACTGTATTAATATCAATCTAATAATTTAAATACACAGTAGCTAGCATATTTCAAAATAGAGAAAAATTACTGTTCTAATTGAATTACTCTTTGTTCTGTGTTGTTTTATTGCTACTTTTTTCTGGCCACCACAAATATTAAGTCAATATTGAATCACATTTATTTTTTTCTTATTTTCAGCAGCCGTAGACTGTTCAGTGCCCAAAAGTAGGTTGACCAGCATCAAACGTAAGTATTTGTGATATGTTAATCCTGTAAAAGCTTCTGTAAAACTAACTTAAAACAAAAGTGCCAGAGGAATAGAAGAGTAACAATAGAATATAACCCTTAATAAAGCATTCGTGTATCTGCTTGTTTCTTCAGCTTTTCATATACTGCTCCAGCTATTTGTAAGAATCTGCAGTGAATGTAATGCTAGCGAGATGGACCTAGTCTGTTAGTGATTAGTTGTGCTTAGGATCACAATTAATTTTGCTTAGGATTCTTTTCATCCACACAGTAATAGAGCACATAAGGAGAATTTCAGAATTTTCCTTCTCCTTTCTTCTGATATGACGTGAGCTTGAACTTTCAAGAAGAGAGCTTACTAGTGCAAGGTCAAGAGGAACTTTGGGAATGTGGGCACCTGAGGACTGGGACTGAAACCTCTCGTTCCATTTCACAGAAAACAGAGCCACACCCTGGATTAAACTGCAGTTACTTTTTGGGGGAGTTGTCTCATTTCTTAACACTGTTTAAAGATATCAGTACTGTAGCCTTACTTCGTAGTGTTAGGTGAAGAGCAATACTTCCAAATCATTGATTTACGGGATACTAAATGAAGTGTATTAGTCAAAGGGGGTAAATAGCAGCTGTTCATTAAAATAACAAGGGTATATTTCTGTTATCTGTCTGTCTTTTTCATTAATGCAATTAGAGAAAGCTCTTTTTTCTCCAATTCAATATTTAGTTACAACTGCTGAGGTACTGGAAAAAATTAAAGCATTCTTTTAAGATAGAAAGCTAAATCTTCTGAGGACAGAGTATTTTGTTGTTAGTCTCAAATCCAGTCAAACCAGAGTGATACTGCCTTGTAAAATTATCATAGTAACTAGAGCTGATGCAGGAAATCAGTCGTCCGTTTGGTAGAAAGACTCAATTTCATCAGAAATTTTTTCAGTATTTCTGCTTAATGGGTTGAGACTGAACTAAGCAACAAGCTGCACCTGCATCAAAGATGCTGTATGTGGGCTTGTGTTTTCCTGCTTTCAAAAGGTGCAGCACAAGTAGCAACAGTATTTCAGGGATACCTAGAGTCTGCAGATTGCAGTAGGAATTTCAGATCACCTGTTCTGCAGAGTCATCTCAAAAAAGTCTTCCTTCTCATGCTCCAGCGCTACCAAGATTTGCTCTGAAACAAGTATGAAAATACAGGGTTAGCATAAGAAGAAAATTTACACCTACATGTTTGTGTAATAAAACCCTCATATAGCTTTTCTTTCTGCATCTGTAGAATCTTCTTAGGTTCCCTAATTAACAGTTGTTATTCCATACCTTTTCAGGTCTTGGGTCTTTCTCAACACCAACAGATGCCTGTTTATTTTAGTGTCTGCTGTCTTTACAGATAAAACGCTTCTGAGCTGATACCTTGTGTGTTTCACACCAGAATGAGTTTCCCTGAATAATGAGTTCATTCTGGGAGACAGTGACAGTGCCTTAACCTTAGCAGATAATTGTCATGACACTAGCAGGTGTGCTCAGTAGTGAGGAAATTTCCATTTCAGATAGCAAGGCTTTGTGCAATATGTTTCTCTTTCAGTTCATCTTACTCAGACCAGTGTCTGACTATGTAACTCTGTCCTGGTCACAGACAGAACATTAATCTCCTATACAGGGTGTGATGGAAACATTTCACCTTTGTTGCTGCTTTTGTTTTTACCCATCTGTTTGATAAAATTGGTACACTAAATCCTTGCTTAAATTGCTCTTTCACCTATTTTCAAACTGGGCTGGAAAAAGGTGCTGCTGTGTTTTATCTTATTAGAACATGCATACAACCAACACAGCCCTAGAAGATGTTTCCTGTTCACAAAGGAAAAAAACTTAAAGCTAGGGGAAAAAAAAATAAAGCCTTTGATTACAAAAAAATTCCTCAATTTACCTACTGTTATTCTAGCCTAAGACTCGGGAGTGTCAATTGTTACTTAGTTGAAATTTATTATATTCCCAAAATAGAGCTAGCTCATAAAGTGAAGCTGAGCATCACAGCTCAAGGATCAGGATCCTAGTCAGTAGCACAGGATTCATTTAGAAGAAATGTTGGACTTACTTCTTGGTATCACAGAGCTGAGTATCCAGTGCTTTTTATCCTTGGATTTAGCTAAGTTCTAAAATACAGTTTGCTCGATATTCTGTACTGAGAGGAATTGTACAATTATGAAGTGACAATGGATTTGCCAATTTTAAAAATCTGTTTAACAAAGCAATAAATAATGTTGTATTTTTTTCCCTGGAAGTGGCTTCTCAAGACAGTATTATGTCTCTGCCCCAGTTTTCAGGTTTTATTTTGTGAGATGCTTCATGTTCTCTAATAAAAATGAGAGTGCCGAGTGAAGGTTAGAAAGCAAAGTAATAATCAAACTTATGTAAACAGTATCTTTTTATTAGAGTATTCCTCAATGTAGTGTTTTTACTTTGCAATGCTGAAAAATGTTCCCAATTACATTTTCATCTTAAATTGTCTGCATCAAATGCTACAAACACTTATTTTTCTTGCAGTAAAAGATTTGCTTTTTCTTTTTTTCTGCAACAGCGAGAGAAATGTCTCAACGTCTGATTTCATTGAAGTTCAGCACTTGTCTCAGACACAGGGCTAGATGTTATATAGCTTGCTTGCTGGTTCTGTTTACCATTTCAGAAGAGGGTCTTTCTGCCTGATAGAGATGAGAGACATTGGTTCATAGATTTCCTGTCTAGTGATTTCTCTTCAGCAGCTCAGTCTGTATGCATTGTCATTTCTCCTAATGTTTTGGGAGCTCAACTTCTGTCATGTACCTGCCGTCATGGAATCACAGAAATGTTGGTTGTAAGGGACCTTCAGAGGTCATTTAGTCCTCCCTGAGCTTCCTGCTTAAGATAGGACTTGTGCCAACACTAGATCAGTCAGCCAAGTCTTGGAAACTTCCAGGGATGGAGATTCTGCAACCTGAGTAACCTGTTCCAATGTTGCAATATCTACGTATCTAAAAGATTGTTTCCAAATGTCCAATTCAAACGCTGTCAGGATTAGAACTGAATTCACTTGAAAGCATTTATCCTGGTAATTCCAGTTTTAAAGGGCAAATTTTGGAATGTGGAATATAAGGGGTTTAGATGCCGTTGTTGAAATTGTTGTTTCGTGATGGTCAACAGCATAAGTGTCTCAACTGCAATAGGTCCAGGATTTTTGTGTGTGCGTTTGTACCAAATACTTAAGATTATTCTTTCTTAATAAAAATCCTTGAGGATTAATATCTATACTCAATGTGTGCATATAAACTGATATTTTTTCTGACCTGCTTTCTTCATATGTTTTGTCACCTGACTGAGATCACTTTATAAACAGATAAGAGATTCTGCCACACAGGCTGAAATTTGTGCGGAGTTAGCAAAGGGATAATTCCACAGGGCACATCTACTTTCAATTTCTTCATTATTGGTCCCACTACCTTCAAGGTATTTAAGGTTAAAGCTACTCAGGTATCCCTTGTCCAGTATCTGCACTATTCTTATAAACTCTAGATGTTTAGAATGAAATTGAAAATTATTTCAACTTATTTCATACCTAAAATTACAGTGGTTGGGTTTTTTTCCTACTGATCTATGCATTGTTCATCAAGAATTACAGATTTCTGTACTGTAATAATAGTGCAACCAAGTGTTACGTGTTCAGGTGTTAAGCTCAGTGCAAGGTATCATTTGTAGTGTCCCTGGCAATCCACTGGAGAATAGTTTTTCTTCCTCTGTCTTTTATGAAACAGATTATGTGGAGATGACAGCCAGTAGCTCAGGCAGTGATAGTACTGGAAATGTACTGAGGAGGAAAGTAAGGGGAAAAGGATTTTTATAATATTTCCAAACTAATTTCTTTTTTCTTCCTGGAGATGGGACATACAATTTGTCCAGGCACAGTTGCAACATCAATATGACTGAATATTGGGGGAATCTCTATAGTCGAGGGGTTTACAGCTTTATTCTTCCAGTGGTTCTGTGCCTGTCATTGCCTCAACTGAAGCATATTATTACTTGTTTCTTTTTGCATTCCTTGTCTTACTACTTATTGCATCCCAAATAAGGTTTCCATTCCCCCTCTATTTCAAAAGAGATGCGGGAAAGGGAGTAAATTTTCAGTTTGAAATGCTAGGATTTATTAATAGCATAGAGTTACAAAACAGAATTCCCGCAGATAGTGTTAAAAAACATCCCCTGAAAATGTGCCTTATGTACTGCTAAAATAGCAGGTGAGTATTTCCCTTTGGGGTTGTTGCCATGAATCAGTCATTAGTGTTTAAGAATTAAACATGATACTGTAGTTGGCATTCTCCCTGGCCAACTGAATGTGTTCTGTCCTTAAAGGGGATTTAGTTTCCACTGTTCTTTTCCTGGTATCTTAGCTGGCAGCAAAGTAGGCAAGCTGCCATGCCACTGGGCTAGCAGTGAGCATGTTCTTGTGTATTAGATCAGCCTTATTGACTTAAAATAGTTGTTAAAATGTGAAACTTCTTGAAATGTGAAACTTCTATGTTCAGAATTAGTCCAAGCATGTTGATTGATACCAGTGGCCATTAGAAGTCTGTGGTTGTGGAATTTGTGCCAGAAAACTTGACAAAAGCTATGCCAAGTAAGACAGCTGCTGCTACACATGCCTGGTTTCTAACAGTACTAACTTTTCAACCCATATGTTTAGAGGTTTTTCCACAGGGCATATTGATAGTACAGCCTGAACCCAGTGATTAGTGTGCTTGGGAATGCAGGTCTCTTTGATACCAAGGTTGGGGGGGGGTGGAGAAGAAGAAAAAAAAAAGTATTCTGAGAAGTTACCCACCAGAAATCTATTTTAGTCTGATGGAACTTGAATACTTGGGGGGGGTGGGTTGAGCGATGGGGAGAGACAACAATTCAGACTGATCAGTAATGTTGTTGGTGACGACGTATGGGGTGGGGTTAGGTTCAAGTAGAAATATCAAGAAATATATATTCTTATATAATTC